ATTTCAGGGCATTCTATTGGTTCCTCACTATCTCTTGTCCAGGTCCTTATAATAACTCTTTTGTACCCTTAACCTTCAGTCTCTTCCCACTCTGATCCATCCTGGATGCCACCCCAGACTAATTTTTATAAAACATCATCTTTTCTTGTCATTCCTTTGGGCAAAATGCAGCAGGACTCTCTAATCCTTTCATATCAAATCCAAATCTCTAGTCTTCAGTCATGAGGCCTTCAGAAACCCAGCCTCACTTTAGTACTCCAAACATATCTCCCAATCATTTTATTACGTGAACTATCCTAGGGCTGGAATTACCTGTCTCATCTCTGATTTATTCCGAGCAACAAGAAAAATGGCTGGCCTGGGGGAGAGGCTTAATAATTGTGAGATCATTGAATAAATGAACTAATCCTAATATATAACCATTTGTTTCAGCCCAGCTAGTTTCTTCTGGTTTTGTATATACACCAAATTCCTATCAGCCCATCTTTGTGTCTGCTAGTACCTAATAAACAACACTTAATAAAATGTATTGCAAAATAAGGCAGTGCCTTATTTTCCCAAAGGGAAGAACTAAAAAAGTAGTTTTTGGTCAACCTCATATACATGAAATAGTCAACTGTCTACTTTAAGTAGTACTAATTTAGTGAACATACACTATCTAATATTATTTAGCAACACATTTAAAATCACATATGAAATAGAGATAATGCTTTTTCCCTCGAACTTTATAATACAATTTCATTCAAATTATCAGTGCTTTCATCATCATTCAAGCCAATTTTATCATCAGCTGGCCCAATTTACAGATCACACCATCCTCACATAGATCCAAATTATTTGAGGACAGTTGGTTTCTTTAAATTCATGCTATGCTTATATATTCCTGATATCCACAATATAACCTTTCTGCTTGTTAATTTTTTTTTAACATTCATTTATTTTTGAGAGACAGAGTGAGAGCTGGGGAGGGGCAGAGAGAGAGAGAGAGAGAGAGAGAGAGAGAGAGATGAATCTGAAGCAGGCTCCAGGCTCTGAGCTGTCAGCACAGAGCCCGACACAGGGCTCGAACCCACAACTGCGAGATCATGACCTAAGCTGAAGTCGGACGCTCAACCGACTGAGCCACCCAGGTGCCCCTCTGCTGCTTTTTAAAAGGCTTACCCTGGGGCACCTGTGTGGCTCAGTCTGTTAAGCGTCCGACTTCAGCTCAGGTCATGATCTTGCGATCTGTGGGTTCGAGCCCCGCGTTGGGCTCTGTGCTGACAGCTCAGAGCCTGGAGCCTGTTTCAGATTCTATGTCTACCTCTTCCTCTGACCCTACCCTGTTCATGCTCTCTCTCTCTCTCTGTCTCAAAAATAAATAAATGTTAAAAAAAATTTAAAAAAATAAAAGGCTTACTCCAACAAGATCTAACACTTGAAACTGTGAGGTCCTAAAGCCAGAATAATTCCTTAAATCCGTGTTAACGTTTTTCGCCTCCCTTTTAAGTAATTCCATACGGTGATCTCTGTAAACTTGGAGAACCAGCATCGACTAAGGTCATCTCAGGCTGCATCTTCCCCAAACAGTATATTGATTCAAAACGAAATATATAAAACAGGCACCGCGGGCTATAAGAGACTTTGTAAGAACACAAGATATAAGGCAACTTCTTTCCTGCAAAATTATTTTCAGAATAAAATAAAAAAATAAAAAATAAATAAAACACTACCTTACATTCAGGTATATAAAATACTTATTCATGTAACAAATATTTAATGAGCATGTCTTGTGTCCCAGGCACTGTGCGAGGGACTATAAATACAGTGAGCTTAGAATTCCATGGAATTCATGAAATGCATAATGCCACAGCTGATTAATTATGATCATTTTAAGTACTATTAAGGACACGTATACCTAGCTACAAGACAGATGAGCGACAGAGGAACCTAAATCTGTGGGATTAAAAAATAGTTTTCTCCAACAGTGCTGTTTATGTACAGTGCAGCAGTAATTCACGTGCCCAGTCTGGGTTCAAATCCTGACTCAAATCTTGAGCAGGTTACTTAGCCTCCCTTTCCTCATTTATAAAGTGGAGCTGGGGCGCCTGCATGGCTGAGTCGGTTGAGCATCCGACTTCGGCTCAGGTCAAGATCTCACAATTCCGTGGGTTCGAGCCCAGCGTCGGGCTCTGTGCCGACAGCTCAGAGTCTGGAGCCTGCTTCCGATTCTGTGTCCCTCTTGTGCTCTGCCCCTCCCCCGCTCACGCTGTCACTCTCTCTCTCTCTCTCTCTCTCTCTCAAGAATAAACACGAAAAAGAAAATAATAAATAAATAATAAAGTGGGGCTAACAACAGTATCTACCTCATGAAGTTATACTGAGGATTAAATGACATAATACACAGAAAGCATCAAGAACAATGCTGGCACATGATAGTTGCTTAATAAACGCTAGCTATTATTACCATTTCAGCTGGAACTTGAAAGACAAACTGGGGGGCAGGGAAGACACTCCAAGCAAAGAGCAACATGCAAAAGCCCAGAGCATAAGGTTGCTTGGCCTAAAGTAGAACTGAAAGGCCAACGTTTCTTAGCATAGAAAGCTAAGGGGCTGAAAAGATACGATGCGGTATGAGAGGAGGCTGGGAAGACAGGATGAAGTCAATAATGCAAAGCCTTGTAGGCCGGGTTAAGGAGTCTGAACTTTATCCTAAGAGTCAGAGGAAACTTGAAAGGTTTTATAAAGGGGAGTGACAAGCTTAGATTTGCAGTTTTCAAAGCTTTCTCTGGCTGTGGAATAGAAAACTGGTTGGAAGGAGGCCAAAATAGATGAAAGGGAAACCAGTAAGGAAGCAGATCCAGTCTTCTAGATCAAAGGCGGGTGGTGGCACAGGAGAGAGGAAACTGGATGACTGAAGAAATAGTTAGAAGGCTGAACCAGCAAGACTTATGTGTGTATGTTGTGGTGAGGGGGCATGGAGGGAGAGGCACTAAATAATAAACATGTATTTGAGGAAGGAAGGAAGGAAGGAAGGAAGGAAGGAGGGAGGGAAAGAATTCCTGTGTTCCTGCCATATTGTTTTACTGTTCCCTCGACTCCATCTTTCCAGGCACAATACCTGCCTATTTCCTCCACAAAAGTGTCTCTGATTGATCTTGCCCCCTTCTTTCCACGAGTGTTCTAGAATTTTAGAGCTGAATATTTTTCTTTTTTTTAAGTAGGCTCCACACCCAGCATGGAGCCCAACATGGGGCTTGAACTCACAACCCTGAGATCAAGACCTGTAGAGCTAAATATTCTTGAGATACATAACAGTTGAGAGAACTTAGACACTGCCTGAAGACTGAAATCATGTTTTAGTCAACTTTCTATCCTGCCCACCTCATCTACCCAACAATTGTAGAGACCATCACTTACAGGACATTTTCTGACTTCATGAGCAGTAGTCATAAACAGTCTATGTTAATATGAAACTCTCTGACCCATTAAGTGTCATATGGAGTTTTCACAACCATTTTTTTCTTGGCTTTTCACAGAACTCTTATCAAATGAGTACTCTTACAGAAGAAACAGAGCTAAAGTAACTTGTCCAAGGTCACATACACTAAAGGAAATGGCAGTGCTAAGATTTGAACCTAGATCCTGTTTACCAATAGGATGCTTTTTGCTACTCTCCATGTAGGGTAAATATTCATATGTACTCAAGACAGCAAACTAACTCTGGGCAGCAGCTAAGCACCACCTCTAAGAATCCTTCCCAGTTTCAGTAATTAGTTTACTCAAAAATATTTATTGAACACCTAATACATCCCAGGCATGGCACCTATTGTTGGGGGTAGGGTACAGCAGTGAACAAGGCAGGAAGGTGCCTGCCCTCAGTCTAGTTCAGGGAGCCGGCCAAACAAGGAAACAAATGTATAAACAATGTAAGTGGTAAGTTGATGGAGGGAGGGAGGTGGGGGATGGGCTAGAAGGGTAAGGGGTACTAAAGAGGGCACTTGTGATGAGCACTGGATTTTGTATATAAGGGATAAATCACTGACTTCTCTTGAAACCAATATTGCACGTGCATGTTAACTACAATTTAAGTTAATGTGTATATATATACATTATACATATGTATATAATGTATACATGTATGTATACATGTATGACACATATATGTATATATGTGTAACACATGTACGTTTACATGTATAATACATTATATATAACACATGTACGCATATATGTATAATACATATATAATGTATCACATTATATATATATACACACACATATACACACACAAGGTGAAATGTGTACCCTTTTTGTTGGCATTACTTTGGATAAAGCGGACAGAGAAAGCGTCTCGGAAAAGTGACACTTCAGACCCGACCTTGGTCTTCAGGAGGCTTTTAAGGAAAGACACCTTCCCACAAACCTTTCCAAACTAGGTATGGAAAAAGCTGGCTAAAGTAAAAAGGTACTCAGTGCGCACAGGGGCCGCTCCCTCATCGCCTCGACTGACACTGGACAGTTCCCGGCCGCCGCCACTAGAGGGCGCCTCGGGTCCCAGCCCCCAGGAGGCGCCTTGGCCCCAGTCACTGCCACCGTGACACCTGGTACCGTCCCCGCCCCCCGAACCTCCCTCCACCGCCTCAAGGCCCCGAAGTCCGGAGTAAGGACAGAGGGCAAGGGAGGCGCTAGGAAGCCCTAGTGAATCGCGAGGGGTCAGCAGGTCCTCAGAGAGAGGACGTCAAGATCGCAAAACCAACCACTGCCGTTAAGTCCTCATTCCCTTCGGGACAACCCGGTTCCGGCGCTTTTAAACAAGGAAATACTGGATGCATCCAATCCTGCTCCTTCTTTCGCCACCTAGTTAGCATCGGTTCCTCGCCAGGGGAGCCTCAGACAGGCCGTCTACGGATACCAATCAGCGCTCAGGAAAGACGCATGCGTTCTGGAACGAACGTGACGTACAGTGAACTTTGACCTAAAGACGACCTCTTTCCTTCTCCCCCGCCCTCGCTGTGAAGATGGCGCTCTCCAGGGTGTGCTGGGCTCGGGCTGCTCTGTGGGGTGCGGCGGTCACCCCCGGACCTTATGTCACCCGGAAGCTGCAACTTGCTCGCCCTCGCGCTGGCCTGGCCTGGGGGGCCCCTCGGTGAGGGACGTGGGAGAAAGGAAAGCGTTTCTGATGTTCAGGCCCTTCCAGTCTCTCAACCTTGTTTGCATGCCTTTTCTTAATTCTTAGCGTTACACGTCCTAGCCCCGGGTTTTTATTCTGCTCAGAATTCGCACCCCGATCCCTACTAGTCATATGGCTTCCTGACCCGCTTCAACTTTCAGGGCTCCATATCGTCCGAATCCCCCACGTATTCCGAGCTCTTTCAGCCTCCCTTTTTCTACTCAAGCTTTACGGCTGCTTGTCTGGATCCCATCTCTCTGGCCTTAGCCTGCTGTTCAAATGGTCCCTCAGGCCTTGCGCTGCCTGCAGACTCATACCCACACCCAACATTCCTTCCCGTCTGATCTTTCATCTGCCCGATCTGTTTTTCTTTTCTGATCGCTTATCTCTTCCTGAGCCCAAGATCTTTCTTGGATTTCAGAAGCTTCAGGCCTTAGCATACATTCCCTGAGACCTGGTGTTTTACATTAGTGTGAACGGACTCCAGGACTGATGCCCAGATAGTCTCTTTGATCTTCCTTGTAGGTCTTCAAACCTCCACCTTTCTCCAAAGGCAGATGTGAAGAGCTTGATTTCTTATGTGGTGACCAAGACCAAAGTGATTAATGGGAAATACCATCGTTTCTTGGGTCGTCATTTCCCCCGCTTCTATGTCCTGTACACAATCTTCATGAAAGGTAAAACCAAAACAGAAATCCCTTGAATCAGTTCATGAGCAATGTCAAAGAGTAACAATGAGTAAGAGTGTTTGCATGTTCTGCTATGTGATGTGAGCTGGGGGGGGGGGGGGGGGGGGGGGGGGTGTTTCTGTTTCATAAATGCTTGAGCGTGAAACGAATTCTTTTAAGTTAGCACTTCTGGAGAATGTTTTTAGAAAAGTATTATGACAACAACTTCTGAGAGCATCCAGAGGGGGATGCCTATAGGTATTTTTGCACTTTTCTTAACCATACGCAGCTGCCTATTCTGGAAATTCTTTGACATGCACCAGGCCAGATGTCTATGGCTGCACAGACCTGCCCTGTGATTTATCAGTGGACTTGGCCCATAAGCAGATGTGGTTTAATGGTTATCACAAATCTATAGGTAGCATATTGTGGAAATTGCACTACATATACTTGTTTTCTGGATGTTTTCATTAAAATCAAAGCTGAGCTAGTTACTAAGAGATGGTATAATGACACATGTCCACTCTGGTGCCAGACTGTCTGTGTTCAAATCCTAGCTTGTCACTGGCTATGTGATTGGACTAGTTACTTAACCTCTCTGTTCCTTGTTTTTTTCATCTGTAAAATACAGAAAATAATAATAGAACCTACCTATTGGCCCACATGGTTGTGAAGATTAAATACATCAGTATTTGTAAAGTACTCATGGCCTGATCATAGTATGTGCTCAATAAATGTATCTCTGTTATTATACTCTGTACTTTTATCATAACACCAATTACAACAAAGTACCATATTGTCAGCTGTGAATATTATCATGATTATTACTAGCTTCATGGAAAATCTAAAGTAGAAATAGAATGGCTGCTTTCTCTGCTCCCAGTTTATAGCTATGACTAAATGAGAAAAAAGTCCGAAAAAATATTTTGGTTGGTTGGTTTTTAAGCTTTTGATTGTGTAAAGTTTTAAATGTACACAAAAGTAGAGAGAATAATGTGATGAATTTCCATATACTCAGTCTCACATCAACAGCTACCAACTCATGGCTGCTGGTCTTACTTCATTTATACACTTGCCTTCTCCTGTATAATTTTGAAGCCAACCTACACATTATATCATTTCATTCATAAATATGAAAGCATTTTTAAGAACTAAAGCCCTAGATAAAAGGTAAGAATACTCATCGAATGAAGAAAAAAATTGAACCATAGAAATATGTTGAATTATACTATTTCTAAAAGTGTTCTAGAAAGAAGATAAGTTAATATCTGGTTGGGGAAAACATAAGGTTAATTGAGCAAGACTTCCTGAAGTTAGGGAGCTTTTGAATTTTTTTTATTTCTAAATGTTGATCTCTTTTAAGAGAGAGAGAGGGTGCACACGCGTACAGTAGGTGAAGGGCAGAGAGAGAGAGGGAGAGAGAACCCCAAGCAGGCTCCACCCTGTCAGCGCAGAGCCTGATGCGAGGCTCAAGCCCATAAACCGTGAGATCACGGCCTGAGCTGAGATCAAGAGTCGGACGCTCAACTGACAAAGCCATCCAGCACCCCTTGAATTTTCATTTTAAGGAGGGAGCGGGCAATGAACCAGAAGAGGGAGACCATTCTATAGTAGATCACAGAAGGCCGGCTTGGCTGGGAGATAAGTAGTGTGTTGCAGGGGAGAAGAATGAGAAAAGAGATACAAGTTGGCCTCACAAGAGTTTTAAGTGTCCTAGTTTAGAGCTCTGATTTAGAGTAATTTTGGGGAGCGACAAGTACGTGCATTGGGGTTAGACATGGAGTTAGGGACCTGTGTGGTAAGATGCACACTGGGATAACATTACACTCTGTCCTCTACTTTAATGAGGCAGGATTGCAGATGTTTTGGGCTGATGCCAAAAAGGCTAGAAGAATAAAGACATATATGTGGAAGCACAATGTAAAGTTTCATCAACTTTCATACCGGGAGATGGAGCATTTGAGACAGGTATGGGCCGGGGGCAGATACCCAGAAGTTCATGGTGAGGTAATTAAAGTTAACTAAGATCTCAAGTGTTTTTTGTTTTGTTTTGTTTTGTTTCCTTTCCTATCTTGTTCACCACTGATCAACCTTTTCCCCTCTGCTGTGAGATCAAAGTATCGAACTAAGTAAGAACATCGGGTTATTTGTCAGAATTGGGTTTATTCGGAGTTGTAGCCCTCTACAACAGAGCTCCATAGAGATTCTGGCATCCTTGCCGAATGAAAGTTGTGGACACTAAAATCGAGTTCATTTCTGAATATATAAAAATCTGCAAGGATCCCAAAGGTTGCAGGAAAGTAGTATTTGGTAGTGACTTGATGGTGTTCACTTTGGTGGTGACTTTGAAACTGAGAGCGAGAACCTAGGACCCATTTGGCACATCAGGAAGAATTTGTTGAGAGATTTGGTATAATGCCAGGCCCTGTACTAGACATTATTTGGGATACAAAAATGAACAAATCAGGGCTTCTGTCCTCAAGGAAATTACCAGCTAGAGGTAGATAGAAATAACCTTGATCCTTCTCTGGGCTGTAATAGAAATTTACTGCACAGTGTTGGGGGAGGGATTGTCCATTGTATTAAGAACTTACTTGGGTTAAAACTGCGTCTGTGTTTATTTCTGCTTAGTTCCGCCGAGACGTCACCAAGTGTCTTTTCCTAGGTATTATTTCCATTCCACCCTTTGCCAACTACCTGGTCTTCTTGCTAATGTGAGTACAGACTTCTATCTTCCCAGCGTATTGAAGATATATAGATTTTTTTTTAATTCAAAATTATTTTAAGAAGAACTTTCCATTTCAGAAATAGGCAGAGATTATCACATTTCCTGCTCCAGTCTTCTAATTAGCCACACTTGGTAACACTTGGATTACTGGGTTAGCTGTAGGTGTAGGTAGTGTAGACTTTTCCTGCCTCTCAGCTGCCCCTGTGTGTTGTGAAATAAGATTATGACCTTTTCCATCATCGCTAGAGGCAGCAACCCACTCCCTGAGAGGCTTAGCAATTTGGGACAGTTTTTTTAGGAGAGAAACGCATTTCATATTCTGATCACATAAATCTTTACTTTGTATCCAAACACGACACTTTTGATGATTGATTGATTGATTTTTTAAGTTTATTTATCTTGAGAGAGAGGAGAGAGAGAATCTCAAGCTGCCTCTGCACTGTCAGCACAGAGCCCAGTGTAGGGCTAGAACTCACGAACCGTGAGCCATGTGACCTGAGCTGAAGTCAAGAGTTGGATGCTTAATCGACTGAGCTACCCAGGCCGCCCCCCCCCCCCAAGATGACACTTTTAAACTTTGATCTTGTGTGTTTTAGTTATCTGTTGCTACATAACAAACAACCTCAAAGCTTAATAGCTTTTCATGGTTTTGTGGGTCAGGAAATTGGGCAGGGTTCAGGTGTGTGACTGATTTTTCTCTTCCGTGTGATGTTGACAGAAGTCTCTCAGTGATATTTAGCTGATGAATGGACTGGTCTGGATGATCTAAGGTCACTCTTATGTCTGGTGCCTTAGCAGGGATGGCCGGAAGGCTGGGACTGTCAGAGTGCCTATATGTGGCCTCTTTAATATGGTGGCCTCAGAGTAATAGGACTTCTTACATGGCAGCTCAGGGCTCCAAGGGTGAGTGTTTCGGCGAATAAGAATCCGGGTGGCCTTTTATAACCTAGCCTTGGAAGTCACAAAGACTCACTTCTGCTCTGCTTTATTGGTTGAATCAGTCACCCAGATTTAAAAGTAAGGGGGACATAGACCTTCCTTCTCAATAAGAGGGATGCCAGAGAATTTGTGGCCGTGCTTTAAAACCACCACACATGCAGAAAATGAATTAAAAAACAAATTTGACTTTCACATTTTATATACACATACGGACTGTGCAACAGCTTGAGGTTGTCACCATCACATATAATGACCAGCTCTGTCTGCATCTGTCTCCCGGTCTGTCCAGCATATGTTCTTCAGATGCTTTGGTTCAAAAGGAGTCATTTTATCCAATTACTGCATGCGAGGCTATTCCACCACTGCTTGCTTTCACAAACCTCAGTAATGTTGCTTGAAATTGTGCTTCCGTGTCTCTTAAACCTTGGTCTGAGACTCATTTACAGAACAGTGAGGTAGGAAGTAATGTCTCCATTTCTTCTTCCTAGTATTCATATCTGCCAAATGCTTTCTTAGATCGCTTTGAAGATGCCGGTTTCAGCAAGTGACATTGTGATTCCTTTTCCTTTCAGGTACCTGTTTCCTAGGCAGCTACTGATCCAACATTTCTGGACCCCAAAGCAACAAATTGATTTCTTAGATATCTATCATGCTCTCCGGAAGCAGTCCCACCCAGAAATCCTTGGCTATTTAGAAAGGGTTATCCCTCTCGTTTCTGATGCAGGACTCCGGTGGCATATGACAGAGCTGTGCACCAAGGTATTCCTCTAGCTAACCCTTCCTGCAAACTAGGACTCTTGTTAGATCCAGTTTGCACTAAAACTAGGAAAGAGGGCCAGTCAGGAGCTTCCTAACCTCTACCAATCTCTTGGCTCTCCCAAGATACAGCATGGTACCCACCCAGCAATACATGATATCCTGGCTCTGAGAGAGTGTTTCTCTAACCATCCTCTGGGCATGAACCAACTCCATGCTTTGCAAATGGTGAGCACTTCGAGGCTTTCTCTGTTCCGCAGCCTCGCCTTGCCTCAGGTTCTGTGTATGGTAATGCCGTGCTGACTTTCTCCTCCTGTGTCGTTGCGTTACAGAAAGCCTTGAGTCGAGCCATGCTTCTCACACCTTATCTGCCTTCTTTCTTGTTGAGACACCGTTTAAAGACTCATACCACTGTAATTCACCAACTGGACAGAGCTTTGGCAAAGCTGGGGATTGGCCACCTGACCCCTCAGGAAGTGAAATCGGTAAGAATTTGATGGCAATATCAACCCTCAATCCTTGGTGGGCTTTTGAGCTCACAGGACTGGGAGCTTACAGAGACCTCCACCATGTTTTGGTTGTTAGAACAAAGCCCAAACTCTTTATTCTTTCACTTCGTTTCTGTGTCTTTTTTTCTCAGTGAACTCATGGGAGGGAATTGCCCAGAGTAGTTTTGGCTTATGGCCTTTCAAAAACCAGAGACACTGTTCTTTAGACCTACTATTTTTGGTTATATAGTCCTCTTTGCTTGTCTTCTTGTCCATTGTAGTTCAGATTGCCACAGAGAAAGGTTTCTTGTGGGGATGAGATTGGAACTTACTTAGAGGTTTTGAATTATTAGTGGGTTTACAGTTCATGGCCATACTTGCTATGTGATTATTGAGGACTGTTTCTCTTCTGGGTGATAATAGGCTTGTTATCTTCGTGGCCTGAATTCTACCCATATCGCTGAAGAGAGGTGTCGAACTTGGCTGGGAGAATGGCTACAGATTTCCTGCAGCCTGAAAGGTAAGACCCATCCCTGTGGTTATGCCACTCAAGTTCAAATAATTTTTATATTTTATTCTGAGATTACTTTGGAGTTGATGAGTGAGTACTGTGAGACCCTTATCCTGTGTATAAACTCATTTGCCTACAGGGGCTAAGCAGGTAGTGAAGTAGACTGTGCAAGACAAGAGGCAGTAGCGGGGACTGTAGGAACCAAGACTACATGCATGCCAGTCTGAAGCAGTTTCTCAGCCTCAGCACTATAGATGCTTCGTCCTGGGGGCTACCATGTGCATTAGAGGGTATCTAGCAGTATCCCTGCCCTCTACCCACTAGATGTCAGTAGCGCCCTCCACCCCAGTTCTGATCATCAAAAACGTCTCCCAACATTGCTAGATGTCCTGTGGGGGAAGGGGGAATAGAATTATCCCAGGTGAGAAGCGCCAGTCTAAAGGCATTCAAACTCAAAACAAAAACACTTGGAGCACCTGGCTGGCTCAGTCGGTAGAGCATACAACTCTTGATCTCAGGGTTGTGAGTTCGAGCTCCACGTCGGGTGTAGAGATGACTTAAAAATAAATCTTGGGGCACCTGGGTGGCTCAGTTGGTTAGGCGTCCGACTTTGGCTCAGGTCACGATCTCACGGTTTGTGAGTTCAAGCCCCGCGTCGGGCTCTGTGCTGACAGCTCAGAGCCTGGAGCCTGTTTCAGATTCTGTGTCTCCCTCTCTCTCTGCCTCTCCCCTGCTCACACTCTGTCTCTGTCTCTCTCTCAAAAATAAATAAAACTTTTTTTTAAGTTGAAAATAAAAACAAATCTTTAAAAAAAAACCCACAAAATCAAAAACAATTGGCTAAATAAAAAGTATCTGAGGGTGGGTATTAGGCCTGTGAGTCACTTGTTGGAACCTTTGGCTGGGCTTTGATGTTTTCTAAGCCTGTGAATAGCAGGGTAGGCCTACTAATCTCCTTGGAGCCAAGAAATGTTTCCAGAGCACCAGCCTCTAGCAGAAGAATCCCAAGGGTGACAATAGTTAGTGTTCACTACCTTTAGCATCTGTGAATTTTCTCCCACCACCACATGAGAGGCAAGAAGTGAGGATGAGGAGAAAGGAATACCTGGTGGAAGGAAAGGAAAGCATCCGTGGCAGGGACCGGGGTGAAGCAGGGGACCTTCAAGAATAGTAGCCTCTCGATGTCACACCTCCCTGCACTTGGCTTCCTGACTCCAGGATCAAGCCCTGCCCCCTCCCCCCCCCACCCCCCACACCCCCGCCCCAGGTGACTGTTCTCTGGCCAAGCCATTAACATTGATGGTGTTTTCAGAAGCTGAGCTGTCCCTCTTGCTACACAACGTGGTCCTGCTTTCCATCAACTACACCGGCTCAAGGCGCTGAATGAACGTGGAGCGGGTGGCATCATCCTGCAGTCACACAGTATGGCAGCGTGGTACCAAACAGCACTGGCCGGCAAAGCATCTGTGTGCCCTGGCGGGGGTGTGCGGGAGGCAGAGGAGCAGGTGCCCGAGGGCTTTCCAGCGTGGTACCCTCGAGGGAGGGAGCTGGAACTGAAACAGACCCTCTTACCAGAAGTGTCATCCCAACTTCCTCACCATCAGCCAGAGCTGGCAGCAGCCTCCGTACTGGGCTTTAATTGTGACGTTTTGAGTTCAGATCCTAGGAAGTGAGCTTTTGCCCCAGGTGGGGCAAGTCCTAGCAGCCTCGGACTTAACCACTGCCACATTCTTTACAGCTGGGTTTTTGTTAGTTTCCGGCTGGGGAGGGGGGCAGCCCTGTTGAAACTGGAGCATTTACATCTGTGCGTGTCCTTTGATGCTGCCCTCGATCCTTTTTGTGACCAAAAATAGGCTTTTTATTTTTATTTTTATTTTTGGCCCCTCACTGGGTTAACCACTCCCTTTCCAAGTCCATGAAACACTTTTTTTTAAAGCAAACAGTTATTCATATATGGGAACATTCTGATGGCAACGATGCAAGGAAATACAAGTGCCACTTGACCCTTTCCGTGTTTATAGCCTTCACCCCACCCTTGTCTTAATTTCCGGGCTGTGGTGCAGCCTCCACAGATCTTAAACTCTGCTACCTCCGCTGAGTTGCGGCAGTCCGGCTGTAACTGCCAGTGGCCGCCTTTGGGCCCTGGATTAAGCCTCCAAGGCACTAACGACCACCCTGCTTGGGAGCCCGGGAGCGGTCTGCGTCGAGAGTACGTTGGGTTTAGCTTTTGTCCCTGTACGCTAGTGACGTGTAATAACTTATTGTTAAATGCATGAAGCACTGTTTTAAAGCCAAGTAAAGACTGCCTGAAACCAGTTGCTGGAAGTGACTTCTGCATACTCAGATGATTTTGCTAAAACTTCTTTGACAAGACGGACGTAACCTAACTAATGGAGACGTAGTCGGTTGGGATAGAAGCTTCTGATGGGATGGAAGTTCTGAGGGAACGGATTTGACACTGATCCTCTGCTCAATTTTAACGCGATAACCAGGAACAGAGAATTTTATATATATTATAGATACATACATAATCTGTAAAGATTATATATATATGATTGTAAAGAAAACGGGATTAGCAGATGAGCCCCCAGGATATGGACTATAGACAGGGAAAAGCTTCAACAGGGGAGCATCAAGCGTGCTCCAGCTTGGGTGCCTAAGGGCATACGATGCACGTCAAGTTCTTGACGCTCCAAAGAGAATGTTCTGTTTTCCATCGTAAAACATTTCTGTTGTTAACATTAATATCTAACCGACCTAATTGGTTTTATATACAATGCTGGAGAAGCACCCTTTGTCTAACAAGTAACTAAGTTGTGGCCTGCCAGGATAAAGAATAACACACCATTCTTTTGAATATTTCTTTAATATTACATTTAAATATTCTCTTTAAATACAGCATTATCACAATGTAAAGGACCTAAAAGGCAAAAAAAAAAAAAAATTGTTTTCAGAGAACCAGACAAGCTTTGGATTCACATTGAAAATACTACCTGTGTACAGTATATGAGAAAGGAAACTGGAAAATCTTAAGAGTTGCAGTAACAAGAGATTTCTTTTATCTAGGCCTAGACTGAGTGGGACTGAAGCCGTACGGTCCTGTGATCAGAGGCCTAGGCTTAGCTTTTCTAGCAACCATGAGCGAGAACTGTGTCCAGCTCAGGTAGCACCAGAAACGAGATGGACTAGGTTGTAGAAAAGGCCCTTTGCTTAACAAGACAGTTAATGCTCAGTGTTAATATTTCAGCATTTAAAAACTTGGGATCGGCGGGAGTCAGAAGTGTTGTTCCTGGAGGGACGGACTTGGATTAAGAAACTAGTTTTTCAGAAAAATCAAATCTCTTGGGGGCTGGCAATGAGTTTAATAATGAGATTCCAATTCTTGGCTTGACCCCAAAGGCTAAAGTGTCTCTTACCAAGCAGGTGGAATCCACTTCCAAAGGTGAGGCTGGAGCCTTCCTAAGGAGGGAATGTTTAGAGCCCACGCTCCCCTCCCAATATAAGCTTTCAGGAAGAAAGTTTGCAGTTTAAGCTTCAGCCTTCTATTCAAGGGGATGGCCGATCGTGGGGGAGTGTGGCTTGGCTTGGGATAGTGTCTACATCGCGGGTGCTTAAGACTCTCTTGTGAGGCTAGAGGATGGGGAGGGACAAGGTCTTGTACTGAAGAACTCCCCTCCAAATGTAAAACCAAGCAAAACCAGGAATGAACTGGAGAGGCAGACTGGGTTAAAAGACGTATCCGTTTAAGTACAAGGCCTCACAGGCTCAGTTTAGAGATTTTCTAGGTGAAATGTTGCTGTGACATACATAAAGAGTGCGTTCACGTCCCACAAGAAAAGGCTTTGTGAGCAAGGTAAGGAGGAAGAGTTCTCTCCCCACCAAAAGCAAAGTTTTCCACTTGTTCTTTCTTGGTCAATAAACCATACCAGAAGTGAGGTGTGATGTAAAGGATGCTAGTGGAGAGTGTTTTTTGCTCCCTACTGACTCCATTTTAAAATGGACGCAAAGAGAACTAATAAGAATTCAGCGGTGTTTAGCAGAGCGCATCCTAGAACATGAGCTGGACATAAGAAGAACGGGAACCGTGTCCCCCCATGGAGGTAAGACCCGAATTTGAGTCCCACTCTATAGATCTCAAAAGTAACAGAACTTGAACTCTTTGGAACCTGGGAGCTGTGTGTAGCAATTAAGAATTCGTTTGGCTTCCAATTTTTATGTATCAAGTTGGAGGGATCCAATAAACATTTGCAGTTGTCAGGGCGGGGGGACTGGAATAGCAAAACTCTCTTAACCCTGTATATCCAAGGACCACAAGGGTAGTACAGAAAGAAAAGGACAAAAACTAGTTGGTGACTTTAGATTGCCACGTCCTGCATTCCTTTAAAGCTCAAACCTCCCAGAGCGGGGCGGGGGGAACCTGGGTGAAAAAGCAAGCATGGCACAGATCAAGTCCACTTCTTTGCAGACAGCAGCCTTTTCCTGCTGCCTCTTTCGGACACAGGCAATGCTCCATATATGCCTCCTGTGGGACGTGTGAGCCCCGGCCTGAAGCTGCCTGATGGAGCCGGCATTACACAGGCACAAGCCTCAGGCTCTTTAGGCCACATCCCCAGCCGATCTAGCTTTTTCTTCAAGGGAAAAAGAAAGGGGGTGGGGGAGACAAATAGGCAAGTTTAACTCTAGTACCTAAGAACATGTGAAAGAAAGAATTCAAGTTACAGACCAGGAATCCCCAGTGTGGGGAACAGGTCGGAGGACACCAAACGTGTCAAATATTAACTTATTTACCAAACGGGGGGCCAGGGAAGGCAGGTTAAGTTTTTCTAGATTCTGGAGGTTTTCTACAGAAGCAGAGACCCTTCTACCCGTTCCTCTCTAGATCTGGCCAGATGGTACTCCAACTGCGTTATGCACCAAAGTGGGGAATCAGGGTGACCGATGAGAAAACTTGAGCTTCTTCCCCACCTGGAGCTCAGGAAAGGAGAAGGGAGCTTTGCCACGCTGTTCAAATTATTGCGTTCTGGTCCCTACATAAAGAATAGCTGCTCGAATTACCCAGCTTCTCCTGTGAGATCCTCGTTCTTTGTTCCAACGGCCCAGAAAGCTCAGTATTCAGCACTGTGCGGCCTCCTCTGCCCCAAGACTCTCCCCACATCCAGCTGGGACCGGTCTCCTTGGTTCTGTTTACCCTTTAAAAAATACTCGTACAAACGATTCTTTCCCACCCATCCCCCCAAGACCCCAATAAAATAACATGGGCGTAGCAGCTGCTTCTACAGTTTTGTTTTGAAACGGTGTTAGATAAAATAAGGGAATAAATAGAGAATGGGTCAGAGGCAGAATCTCCATCCCCGGCTCACACTGCCACAGGGAGTTCTAGGGAAGAATCTTCGGGGGGCCTGTCCTCACTCTGCTGTGAGGTTTTCTCCACCGCACGGCCCTCTTCATGGTCCGTGCGGAAGGGGAGGCTCGAGGGGGACCAAGAAGGGCGGAAGTCTTCGCTCTCAGGCTCGTCAGGGTTACAGCCTTCGGGCACTAGCGCCTCTAGGGTGGACGCTTTCCCCACTTCTGACTTACACAGGGCAGCTGGGTCTGTGGGGCTACAAGCCACCAGTGAGGTAACCGGGAGAGAGAAGACGTTCAGATCCTTCTCCTTGGGGAAAGAAGGCGGGACTTCTTCCGCGCTAGGCTCTCCTTTCACCCCCAGGACTGGCCTCTGCTCCACCTGATAGTAGACCAGGGGCCCACCGTTCAAGTAGGACGGGCTGTTCACTGCCGAGGCGGCCGGGTGGTCTGAGTTCTCGGCAAAACACAGGACGGAGGAGCCCGGGGGCAGCTGAGCCTGGATGAGGATGGGGGCTGTGAGGCCCGGGCACAGCTCTTCGGGCACGGCCAGCGGCTCCTCCAGGATGCACACGCCCAGGCTCTCGATGCTGGAGTCCAGGCTGGCGCTAGAGCCGCTGGAGTCTTCCTCTGCCTTGAGCCGCTCCAGTTCCTCTGCACTCTGCAGGTGCATGACCGCCGTCTCGTTCTCAGCAATGAACTCCTGGAAGTCCTGTGTCTCGGAGCCCTGGGCTCCCGTCAGGCTGCAACCGGCGGCGGGTGAGGGCTCCTCGTCCGGGGCTGGCGGGCGGCTCACCTGCCGCTTGCTCTCCAGCTCCAGCTTCATGATGGTGTGGAGGTAATGAGTCCGGACCCGGATCGGATTAAATTCAATGCGCCCCGCCATGTTCCCGCAGCCATCCCGGGAACAACCGCACGGAAAGGACATGCGATCCACCTGAGGAGGGGACAAGGAGGTTGAGGGAAGATGAGGCCAGCAGATTTAATAACGGAGATAGGAGACGTCAGCTGGCAAACACGGGCAGCTGGGATTTGAGGTCTTCTTACAAGAGGAACAACTAATTCAAAGCGAAACGTGCAACGTGGTGACCTAAGAGCATGAGGTGGTAGTTTTCAGACCACTCGCGTTCTGATTCCAGCACAGCCATTAGTTAGCAGTTGTGACCTCAGGAAGGTCCTGTATCTCTCCAAGGCTTTGTTTCCTCTTCCAAATAAAGTGTAGCCAAAAATCACGTCAAAGGGCCTTTCCAGTTAAAAAGTCCTGAGACCACCTCTCTGAATGCTGACAGTTCTCAGAGTGGAAGAAATTTTTGTGCCTCAGACTTTCCCAGAACTTACCTGGTGTGTCGAGAAGACAAAGGCTGGGGCCCAAGCCTAGTGCCTTCTGCAACGACAGGCATGGGAAAGGAAGTAGATCTAGCTGGTCCAAAGCAATCGATACATTCCAGGGAAACTAGTGAAAGTGTCTTAGTTTGCTAAGGTGCTATCGTGACAGTTCCAACAAAATAATGACCAGCTTTTCACTGCCTGCTTCATTTTTCCCTGATGGTTGGCCAGGTTAGTTCTGAAACAGTTATAGACCAGGAATATGTGGAAAGGGGATCTACTCTACCTCCTTATTGGATCCCAAAAGGGAAAAAAGCACCCCCCCCCCAAAAAAATAAAATAACATCAGCAAATATGTACAAACACACAATGTCTTTCTATGATATCAACCTCTAGAACTCTCCATTCCAGTCTTAAGAACAGTCCAACTCTTAGGACTGTTCTCAGGACTGTAAAACAGAATGATATATTCTAGGACTTCACTCTGAAAAGCAGTATTTGGCCAGATCAGCTAGAGCTATTACCTGCCTAAAATTAAACAAAAGGTTGGTTATGATCCATTCAACCAGAAGGACTCAGCACCCACATCCTACAAGTTCCGGGTAGATTTCATCCTCTGGGATGGTACTACTCTTTCCAGTTGGGCTAGGCCTTCTAACCTGTCCCTTGTCAGAAGGCCAGGTGGGGAATGAGGTCTTCTATCTTTTACGATCCTGGACCTAAGGGGTGCCTGGGTGGCTCAGTTGGTTAAGCGTCTGACTTCATGATCTCCTAGTTCTGGCGTTCAAACCCCATGTGGGACTCTTGGCTGTCAGCACAGAGCCTGCTTTGGATCCTGTCCCCCTCTCTCTCTGCCCCTATCTCACTTGTTCTCTCTCTCAAAATAAATAATTTTGTTTTTTAATTTTAGAAACTAAAAAAAAAAAAAAAAAAAAAAAAAAAAAAAAAAAAAAAAAAAAAAGATCCTGAACTTAAGATCCTGGACTTAACCTCCGCCAGGCCAAGTTTGATCCTAAATTACAGGATCCGAGAATTACTTTGAGTTTTACAAAATTGGGGTAGAGGTCCTGTGAGTGAAGATAAAATCTAAAGGCCTAACTCAGCTCTCTGCTTCCTTTTATCTCACGAAATCAATATTTAAGGAATAGCTACTAATGGTAAACTTACTAACCCCTGTTCCCTGTTCCCACATTTGCGGACAGCTGCCTCTTCATCACCTCTGAGGTGAGAAACACAGAAAAGGTAACTGCTGTCTCCATAGCCTAGGAATCCTGCCGTGCTTGGTTTTCTCCTTGGTGGAGGAGGGTTATGGAGCTATGGAGTGTCCACACTCACGGGGAATCCACCCACGGGTGACGGGCGGCCTCCCGTGTTCATGGGTACCCGCATCACGTCCCCCAGACTCTAGAGTAGATATGCTCTCTCAGGCCGACTTGGACTCACCTGGCATTTAATCCCAGCCTGACTACAGGCACAGGCTTCTGGGTCACAGTACAGGCGACAGTCGCAACCACACTCTTCCCGTGACAGGCGGATGGCTCTAAGCTCCTGTTTCTCTTCGGCATCGATGCGGTGGACCCCCGAAGCCCTCAGCAAGGCTCGGCGCCGCTTGGTGGGCAGGGGCTGCAGGAAGAAGTAATCATCCACCTCCACGTTTTCCACGTCAATATCTTCATCTGAAACATCATCCAGGGTCAGGCCGTCGGCCTCCACCGACTCCACCGTCCCATTCTTGGTCAGCTGCCAGGAGACAGGGAGGACAGGTTAGCCTCGAGTAGTTGCAGGCACCTCCTCACAGTGGGTGTCTAGAGCAGCACAGTCCAACTGAACCTGGTGCGACGATGGAAATGGCCATGCTGCTCATAGCACGTGTGGCTACTGAGCACTGGAAATGCGGCTATAGTGCAAATGAGAAGCTGAACGTTTTCGTTTCATTTCACTTTAATCGAGTGTAGTATAAAGAGCCACATGGGGCGCCTGGGTCGGTTAAACGGCCGACTCTTGGTCTCGGCTCAGGTCATGATCTCACAGTGCACGAGTTCAAGCCCCGCGCTGAGCTCTGCGTCCATGGTGGGGAGCTTGCTTGGGATTTTCGCTCTCCTTCTCTCTGCCCCTCCCCCACTTGTGCTTCTTATCTCTCTCCCAAAAATAAACTTTAAAAAAAAAAATAGCCATGTGTGGCTAGCGGCTACCATATTGGATAGTTTAAGAGAATAAACCTAGAGCAGGAAGGCAGGAAGCCTTATGTAGCTCTGTAGTTCTAACACCTTCCTGTCGACACCGGGTATCACCTTGGTAGATCAAAGTTTCTCAAAACCTGTGTCTCATCCTCCCTCCTAGAAGATAATATTCTTCCACGAATATATTCTCCATTCCCAGACTTGTGTCCCTTAACTTCAGCTAACTTGCCTTCTAACACAGGGAGGAGAAGGTTTATCAATGGCTAGATATTCCTTGGATGGATAGAGAACGTTGCAAAACACCCTTCAATATGTACCCCCAAAGGACCCAAAACCACATTCTGGGAAGAAGACTACACTCAAGTGTAGTACAAGGCCACCGGGTCTTTGTCAACGAGCCTAAATCTTCACAGTGTCAACAACGATCTACATATACAGAAGAGCTTCATTTCATTGGGAGGAGGAAAAAAAAGGAGCAAGTTGTTAATGGCTACCAAAGAAAGCTCTCACTTCCGGCCCACAGTCTAGAACAATTCTTTCTCCTGATACTTTTTTATTTGATTTCAAAGAAAAGCAGTATGTGAGGCAGGGTGGCTTATATAGCACTAAGGTACCATCTACAGGCAGAAATCTGGGTTCTCTGGGCTAAGAAGGATAGCCAGCCAGAAAAGGGAGTCTTAGTGGAAGGACAGTGTGAAGACAAGCTGGCTGAATGAGTTTTGAAAACTCACTAGAGAATTCGAGTGAAGAAAATGAGACCTCATCATCTCCAGAGCTCTGGAAGCTACTAGCAGGATGAGAGCCAAGCTACTGGAGGGGTTGGCTTACTTCATCAGCCACAGATTGGTGCTGGTAAAGGAACAGCTCCTGGGGGACGTGATGCAATAGGCCTGGCTAATAAGCTCCACACCTGTTGTGTTTGTTTGTGGGAAGGTGGGACAGAGGAGACAAATACAGTGGTGCTTCTGGGGGTTTCCTGGTCTGTTTTTTCCGTACCAGGCAGACCAACGATGAGGGGCCTTTCTGCAGACCTTGGGATCGCCCCTGCCTATTTCACTGGGGATGGCTTCCTCCTCATGGCCTCCTCCTCACCCTCCCTCTCGCTGTCCTCTCAAGGGAAAGAAGCTAGAGATGCAATAGGAAGAAACCCACACAAATGTAAGGATGTAACACGATAGAGGTGGCATTTCAAATCAAGTGAGAAGAGTCCTCTGGCATTAAATGGTATTGGGACAACTGGATATTCTTTTGGGGAAAAAAAAAAAAAATGTTAGATTCCCAATTCATACTACCCATAATAAGGCACTCCAAAGGAATGAGAGGCCAAAATTAAAAAGAAAAATAACTGGGGCACCTGGGTGGCTCAGTTGGTTGAGCATCTGACTTTGGCTCAAGTCATGATCTGATGGTTTCATGGGTTCCAGCCCCATGTCGGGCTCTGTGCACCGACTTCATGGAGGCTGCTTGGGCCTCTCTCTCTGCCCCTTCCCCACGTGTGTGTGTGTGTGTGTGTGTGTGTGTGTGTGTGTATGTGTGCGCACGCGTGTGCGTGCACTCTCAAAATAAATTTAAAATTTTTTAATGAAAATATTAGAAAAATTATATATAATCAAAGCTACAGAGCACCAGCAGTTTTTTTGTTTTTGTTGGCAGCCTAAAAGGAAAAAATATCAGATGGCACATGGGCCATGCAAAAGATGTATCTTTGAGATCAACAGTCTCCCCTGTAGAGCGCTAAATAAAGATAGGAAAACTTTCTAAGAGCAAACTGGACCTGGGGAGGGCAAAGGCAGGGTTTTCTCTTGACACAGAAAGATGTACCAGCTGCCACCAGTGCTGCTGTTCGCAAAGTCTGCTAATAAGGAGGAATCCTCTGCCAGCCTGGAGTTTGCTGAGCTCTGTCCCTAGACATCCTGCAAGGGGGGGGGGGCCACAGAACAGGATGGAATCCTGCTGTGACAGGCTATGCCTCTACCGGATTTAGGAGACGGGTTTCTTCTACGGAAAGGGAAGAAAGCCTTCGTCGCAAATGACGAGAACAGTGTTTATTTCCCCAGCTGTTGCTATAGCAGCAGGAAGGTGATAGGGTCAGTGACAGAATTCCTCAGACACAAGAAAGGGACGCCTCAATGTCATTCCAGTTAGAAAAACAGGTGTAAGGCTTTGGGAGTAGACTGAGGGATGGAGACACGGCTCTCACAGGGGGAAAGGGATATCATTAGTCCACATCCCCTGCCGTCAGTTCTCCGACCACACCACAATCTGGTGTGGCTCATCAGGGGGTCACCCGCAGCCCTGGAAATAACGCAGCCACCTGTCTTAATATGGGTCAGCAGGCTTTGGGCCCACAAGAAACCTGGCCGGGCCAGAAGCAGTGTTCTCCAAGTTTGGAACTAGGAACTCGGGGGGACCTTTTTGCGGCCTGGTGGAAAACACGGCTGTGGAGCGCCAGGCAGTGCTGAAAGCAAACGGGTAGCTGTGAAGAGCCATCCTGCGAGAGACGGGTCTTCTTCCAGCGCTGCTCTCCTACACTGCGAGAGCTGGCGCGGCCTCAGCGGCAGGCCCGGGACCATCCACAGTGAAAGAACTATTTGGCTACACTGTCATTTACACATAAAAGACTATCACCTCGAGGTGATGGGGGTTATAGAAACAGCAGGGTCCTATCAGAGAACGTAAAGGATCTAAAACCCGTTCTGGGCATTGGGACAACAGATGATCATTTGACAAGAAACTGAAACACTGTGCTTCCTCAGATTCCAAGGGTGGCAGACTCGAATGTTTGTAGATATTCACATTTTAAACTTTTTAAAAATCTGCTGAGGGTAGGGAATTCTAGGGAAGCCATTTTGCTACCCTGTGTAGACTCCCCGCCAGAGACCAGAACAATGGTGTCTCAGACTGAGATCGGATTCCGAATCCGGGATGTCTCGTTAAAAAGATCTGGAATTTCTACGTGCCGAGGGCAACAAATTTAAAACAAATAAATAAAGAATCCAGAGACCCAGATGGTTTTCCATTTTATCTCGGAACGCGGTTAAATACCAGATCCCAGACCCCTTAGGCACCTTCATCTTCTTGGCATGGAGCTTCTCCTCCTTTAGGTGTTCACGAAGAATCTCCCGATGGTTCACCTCCTGCTCCTGAGCAAACTCACAGAGCGTGTAGCTGCGCACGGAGTTATGGCGCTGGGCCATGCCCAGAGAGCTCCCACCCTGGCTGGGCACACTCGTGAAGCCTTGGCGTCGGGCAAAGTAGTAAACGGTCACCTGGTCAAAGCGCACATTCTTCCTCCGCAGCTGCTTCTGCCGCTTGAGGATGGATGTGGCTGAGAAGGGAGCACAGAGCAGTGTTACTAACCCAGGAACGGCCTGCCTGGCAGTCTCGTTCTTTCTCATTCAACTAGGCTCTCCACTGTTGTCCAAAGTGCTCTCTGAACCTTGGGAAACTTCTGATCGTCACATCGTAAATGCACAGTTGGGAGGGGCCTTGAACATCAGCTGGTCCGAACCACTGCCTCCAGACTGACTTTACCCACACAGATGACCACAACATCTAATTTTGGACATCAGCTGGGAAGAGGACATCTAGGCCATCTTTTCAGGATGTAACAATCTATATAGCTTCAGTCAGTATGGCAGCAAGTAACCACCTGTGGCGATTTAAATTTCAGTTACTCAAAATAAAATTTAAAATTCAGCTCTTCAATTACACTAATCACATTTCAAGTGCTCACAGCTACGTATGGCTGATGGCTATCATACTGGACAGTGCAGATGTAAAACTTTTTTTTTTTTTTTTAAGAAAGAGAGAGTGTAAGTGGGGGAGAGGGGCAGAGGGAGAGAGAGAATCCCAAGCAGGCTCCACACTCAACATGGAGCCCAACATGGGGCTGGATCCCACAATGCCAGGATCATGACCTGAGCCAAAATCAAGAGTCAGACACTCAACTGACTGAGACACCTAGTACCCCTAGACCGTTTCTATCATAAGAGAAAATTCTATTGGACAGTGTGTATAACCTATAGCAGAGGATGCTGTATTTCTTTAAAGGGCCAGATAGTAAATACTTTAGGCTTTGCAACTCTGCCACAACTACTCAACTCTGCCACTGTAGCATGAAATCAATTACGACGTGTGTGGCTGTATTCCAATAAAACTTTATTTACAAAAACAGGCAGCGGGCCAGATTTGGTCCATAGGCAACCTCTGATCTACAGAATCAGAAATTCTGGGGCACCTGAGTGGCCCAGTCAGTTAAGCGTTGGACTCTTGATTTCTGCTCAGGTCATGACCAGATGGTTGTGAGATCGAGCCCAGCGTAGGACTCTGCACTAGGCATGGAGCCTGCTTAGGATTCTCTCTCTCCCTCTTCCTCTGTCCCTCTCCCGCTCTCATGTGGAAGTTCTTTCCAAGAAATTAATTGAGCTATAAGAATTAAGAAATGTGGGGATGCTTGGGTGGCTCAGTTAGTTAAGCGGCC